TAGTAGCCTCCAGGGAGCTTCTGCTCGACCAAGAACATCCACGCCCGCATGAGCGCGTGCGACCCTCCCGGCGTGCTCTTCACGTAGAACAGGCTGCCGCTGACGTCGGCGCTGGCGGTAATCGCATCACACTGCGCGGACTGCCTCGGGGCAAAGACGACATCGTGGCCAGCACTGACCTCTGCGAACGCCGCGATAGGGCCTTCCTGGAACTCGACCCCAGGCTCCGCGAAGAGGACGCCGCCAGCCGCACCGCTGAAGACGGCTGTGGTGAGCAAGGCGACCTTGACCGTCTGGACGTCGAGTACCCGGGGAATCTCCACACACGCGGAATTGCCGGTCGCGCGAGTGATCCTCATGCAGCCCTGCACCTGGGTCACCACGACGGCCCTCGCAGAAGGGTCGGCTGACCGCAAGCTGGCCAGTGTCATGAGGGCCTTGTCGATGTGGGCGAGGTCGGCGATGATGAACACGACAGACACATTATAGGCCCCCCCTGACGCATTCAGAATTGTGCCCCTGAGCGCGGCAACCTCGTCGCTGCTCAGCGCATTGAAGAAGGCCGGGTTCATGGTATCGCAGCTGAAGGTCCTGAACAGCTTAGTGACAGGGCTGTCCTCGGTGGCCTCGTCATGGCACTTGTGGTAGCCGCCCCTGTCGGAGAGGTTGTAAGACTGCTTGCGGAAGCAGGGGATCCCGCTCTCCGTTATGGTCCCAAGTGCGTACCTTCGGGAGCGGCCAAGAGGGGGGTGTCCAAGAGGGGGGGGGTGCAAATCATGACCGGCGGCATGTGCGCGGCCCAGCGGGGGAGCCTGGGACGTAATGAAATAAGAAGAGGCGCCATGAAATCTGAGGAAACATCATGGCCCGCGCCCTGAAATCAACCCCCACCCGAGTCATCACCCCCCTCTTTTCCTCTCCCGATACCCGAAGCCGGTCGGCCTGATCCCGACACCCTCCAACACCGCCAGCTTATACAAGAACTCTTCGGCATTGCGGCTGTCCGCGAGCGCGCTGTAGGGCAGCCGCTTCCAGGCCTGGTAGGCGGAGCCCACCCGCTCCATGGCGTCCCGGCCCAGGTGAAGCACCTTGTCGTTGACGCCGTGCGCCTCCAGGCAGGAGGTAGACCTCAGCGTGGAGGGGTGAGCCTCGAAATCCATCGTGTCGAATATGTACGGGGTGAGCCAATAATTGTCGTCGCGCACGATCAGCACCGAGTTATACCGGAAACGGTGCGCCAGCTCCACCCTCTTCGCCTTCTTCAGGAGCCTCTCGATGGTACGCCACTTTCTCAGAACGTTCTGGCCCGTTGCCGTCGAGAGTGGATTGTAGTAGGACATGACGCTCTGGTGCGCCTGGTCGTCGGGCAGCTCGAGCGGCTCCTCCGTCTCCTCCTCCGTCACACACCTGCCCGCGCCCGCTTCGAATGACCACTCGCAGAGCCGCCGGAATAGCTCCTTGTTGGAGACGTTCGCGGTGCGCAGCCTTCGCCTGAGCATTCTCGGGTCCTTCGCGTAACTCTGCGACGCAGCCTCCGACACCAGCCACTTGCTCTCTCCCTTGTTGGACGCGTAGTTCTGCCCGTCCATCTGCGGCTTCATCCCGAAGAAGATGTCCACAGGGGTGCCTGCATCAACGTTGGCGCGCACGAGGTTCTCCATCAGCGGGGTCACCAGCAGCCGGTCCAGCATGCCGGACACCAGGATCGCCACTGGAGCCGCGCCCGCCGACGCCTCCGACGAGAGCCCCGATGGCGCGGCCGCCAGCGCCTCGCAGGCGGCGGCGCAGAGGGCCACCACCGCCGCGAGCAGCGGCACCCGTCCGCGCGTCGGCCTCGCCATGCGGGGCCGGCTCTCTCGAGAGGAAAGGTACGTAGGGTAACAGGGATGGCAGCCCGCGGTGTGGGCTGGCGCTTCTGAGCCAAAATCGCTCTGGAGGGGGAGGGCAACGAAGCCTTCGGAGAAGGGCGCACGCGCCTGCCGCAGGAGGCGCAGCCCCGCGGCGCGCCCCGGAGGCTCACGGCCCCTGTGCGGTGGGCTGCCAGGTTGCTGCTGAGGCCTCAACTCCGTCAGGAGAGGTGGTATCCTCAAGCGCCGCATGATCCAAGGCGCGGGTCGAGAGACGACATCGCCCCTGGCCCGAATCTCGAAGGCAGAGGATGAGGAGGTATGAAGGGGCCCTGGGACACACAAATAAAGACACACACACACACACAAAGGACAGGATTCCCCATGTTTTTCAATATTTTCTGGGTTTTTGTCTCCCCTCCCCCCACTTCCCATATTTTCCCACATTTTCTGGGGAATCGACGATTCATTGTGTCTGTTTTTTTTTGTTTCCCTCCTGAAGGTGGCCGAGCACATGGGAGGGGAGCAGGAGGCGTCGTCGACAAGGGAGACGAGAAGAGGAGGCAGCGGAGGCTACGGGAGGGGGGCAGGAGGCCCCCAGACCTCCGACGCGTCGAACAGCGCGTGGCGCAGAACTCAGGGAGGCAGGCCGCCTGCCGGCCGTGTCGGTGCCCGGGGGGGGGGGGGGTGGCGCTGCCGGGCCCCGAGGCAAGAAGAGCTGTTGGCCGAGTGGCGCACGGAGAGATGCCAATCGGGGGCCACATGCGAACCCTACCCCTACCCCCCACGATTTCGGGGGGGAGGGTGGGGTTCACTTCGTTCGGGAGCTCCCGAGCGAAGTGAACCCCACCCTTCCCCTCAGAAGCTTGGGGGGTAGGGGTAGGGTTTGCATGTGGCCCCCTAGCCACAGCTCCAGCGCAAGAGTACCTCTAGCTGTGGATCGGGCCTTTGGCACACTCAAGCTGTTGCTTCGGCTTCGGGCGTCTTGTTCGATCTCGAGCTTGGGACTCCAGGCTTCTCGTAGGAGTCGGGAGAGAAACGAGGAGATTCCAGGATGGTGTGGTGCCCCCAGCGCAGACGGCGATGATGACCAGTAGCTCTTGTCGCACGGCTGCCGTACTTGTGAGCTGCAGCTTTTTGCGGTGCAAGCTTGCATGCTTTGCGCATAGTTGTTCGACCAGAGACCCACCACTCTGGGTTTCTTCATAAGCGTGGGGGGTACCCCCCCGGCGAGGGTCAACCTCGCCTCGTCGTCGCGCCGCGACGGGGGTCGGATCGCCTTCGTCGCGCGGTGGCTACCCGCGGCGGGGGTCGATGTGGGGCTGTCGGCGGGGGTGACGCCCCCGCGACGCTTATTAAGAAACTCGGAGCAGGTCTGTGGGCTTCGCGTGTGAGTCGGGACAGGCTTGATGAGATTCCGGGAGGGTGTCGTGCCCTCAACGCCAACGACGATAACCACCAGAAGCGCAACATGTGTTTCTTACCTTTCTTTTTGCGCTGCAGTTGTTTGTGTGCTGCATGTGTTCGGCTCTGCGCATGCTCGCTCGAGCTTGAGCTCAAGATTCCGAGATTCGCGGGTATCGCGGGAGGTTAGAGGCGGTTCGGGGCGGTGAGTGCCCAGAGCACCAACGAATAGGATGGCCAGAAAGCAGCTTCCTGTTGCGATGCAACTGTTGCCTTGATCTGCTTTTGTTTTGAACGGCAATGGGGTGTGCTCGGGGTTGCTGTGTTTGAGCTTGAGCTGACGAGTCGGGGCTTCGCATCGAGCTTAAGGAGATCCAGTGAGGGTGTCGTCTACACAACTCCAACGACAAAGCTTACCAGAAACGCAGTTCCCTTTGGTACTGCAGTTTGTCTTTGCACAACTGATTATTTCAGCGCGTACACCTTGTATGAGCTTGAGCTTAGGACTGTGGAATTATGCGCATCGCTAGTGAGCCTGAACAGGTTGAGGAGATTCAGTACTGCTGTCGTCGACAAAGCGCCAGCGGAAATGCCTACCAGAAGCACAGCTCACTTTTGCACTGCAATTGTCATTTGCACTGATGCTTCTTTCCGAACTTACACTTCGTATGAGCTTGAAGTTGGGATGATGGGCTTCACGTGTGAGTTTGGAGAGGTTCAAGTAGACTCAGACAAGGTGTGGTACCCAAAATGCCAAAACGATGATAGTCTTCCGCATTGCAAATCATTGCGCGCTGCATGTTCCCTTGCACCTGTAGGCATACTCTGCTGGCTCGAGCTGTGTGCAAAGCTAGTCGACGTCTCTCCTTTCCATTCGTTTTGGATTGCCTTCTTGTGCGTTCACTTCTTTCTCTCGGATGCAATGCGTGAATTCGCGCTTCGGATTGCTAATTTCCTGGAACGCTGGCGGCGAAGGAGCCGCAATTCTGGAAGAAGTCACGCCTGACTCTTTTTAGACTGCCTTGGGACTCTCGTAGATGTTTGGTGGTCGTAGGCGCCCGAAAACCATCCATAGCACCAACGGAGAAGCACCAACATCTTCCGTGGCAACCACGCTTGTTCATTCCACTGCACTCCGGCTGCTAGCACTCCGCACAACACGTTGCTTTGCGCTGTATCTCATCATGTGCGCATCTCTGCTTGAACTTTGGGACACAATTCCAAGTCGTGAAATTCGGCAGAAGCCCTCTCAGAGTCTTAGGCCCACCTTTGAGGGCCAACGATCGGAGGGGACTGGCATATGGGGGGATGCATAGACCTGGAATCGGCGATACACCGTCGACAGATCGTCGATCGGCTCCCGATGGCGGATCCGCACCCTGCTGGGCGAAACGAGGCCTCCTCCACCTCCTCCTCCTCCTCCCACATCGATCCCGGGCTCTCCCGAGCTGCTGTCGGCTGCGAGCGGGGGGGGGGAGTGAGAAGGGGCGGGCCTCCTCAGAGGGCTCGGGCGTCCCCCAGCCCGCGGTGTGGGGCTGTCGGGCGTCCCCCTGCCGAAGTCTCCGGAGCCTCCCCCGAAGGCGCAGGAAACCTCTCAGGAGGCGCGAGGGCTTCTGAGGAGCCCCGCCGCCTTCTGAGCAGGCCTTCTCCTTCTCCAGAGGCCTCCTAGATGGGGGCGGAGTAGATGGGGTCGGAGGATCACGCCGCATCGCCGATACAGCGGCGATGCGGCGCGTTCCCCCCCTCGCTCGTCGCCGAGCCTGCTGGAGTCTCCTCGGGGCGCCCTGGCCGCTCCCCTTGGAGCGACGAGTGGGCATCCGAGAGAGCCAGCCAGGAGAGCGCCGAGAGACCTCTGCGCGCACCTGTCGCAAGCGCCGGTTTAGGAGGCCTGGAATCGGCACCAACACCAACACCGGGGGGGTGCCTCAACCAGGGAAGCTGATCCTAGATGTTGGTGCTGGTGGTAATGATTCGGCCACCTTGGAATCCTTGCGACCCAAAAGGGGGTCCAGCTAAAAGGGAGTGGTGCAATAGATTTATTGTACCTCAACAGATACATTGCACGCGAAAGCCAAGCAATACATGGGTACACTGGAATGTATTGCACGGCTCAGGAATCTGTGGCAGCCCTAGGCATCGCTATTTTCCTTTCTAAAAAGAAAAACTCTACCCCCCCGGCGTTATCCGCCCCCCTTTCGGGTATGTAGATCATATATGATTATGACCACATGTCCATCCGAAATATGAACTTACACTATCCCAGGGGGCGGGATCGCTACCCCTGAACTTCATTTTGTGGAAAAACAATACGCGGGGACATTTGTTCTAACATAAGACTTGTTCGCGAATCCCTTGCAAAAAACGGGACGAAGTGCACACGCGCGCGTCGTCGCGCGCGTATGCCGAAATCCTGCACAACCCATCGGTTTCGGAAGGATTTCAAATTCGTGTGTCCAATTAGCCTGGCGAAAGACCCAACCATATGCAGTTGTGAATGCCACAGTTGTGCTGGGTGGTGGCGGACGCATGCGGGCGGTGCCACTGGGACCTTCGGTGGAGCTCCCTATGGGGCCACGAAACGCTGTACTGGGTGGGTGAGGCGCGGTCAGCAATGGCTGTGCTGCGTGGTGGCGGACGCATGCGAGCGGTGCCACTGGGACCTTCGGTGGAGCTCCCAATGGGGCCACGAAGCGCTGTACTGGGTGGGTGAAACGCAGGCAGGGAGCAAGGGCTGTGCAGGGTGGTGGCGGACGCATGCGGGCGGTGCCGCTGGGACCTTTGGTGGAGCTCCCTATAGGGCTACGAAGCGCTGTTCTGGGTGGGTGAACCGCAGGGAACAAAGGGCTGTGCTGGGTGGTGGCGGACGCAGGCGGGCAGTGCCACTGGGACCTTTGGTGGAGCTCCCTATGGGGCCACGAAACATGCGACGGGTGTGCCAGAATGGGGTGTGGAACCGCATGCCACCGCAGCCACTGGGGCCTTCGGTGGACCTCCCTATGGAGCCACGAAACGTGTGAGGGGTGTGCCGAAATGGGGGGTGGAACCGCATGCGGGCGCAGCCACTGCGGCGTTCGGTGGAGCTCCCTATGGGGCCACGAGACGTGTGAAGGGCGTGCCGAAAAAATGGTGTGGAACCGCATGCGAGCGCAGCCACTGGGGCCTTCGGTGGAGCTCTCTATGGGGCCACGAACCGTGTGAGGGGTGTGCCGAAATTGAGGGGGGGGGAACCACATGCGAGCGCAGCCACTGGGGCGTTCGGTGGAGCTCCCCATGGAGCCACCCACGAAGCGTGTGAGGGGTGTGCCGAAATGGGGGTGGAACCGCATGCGGGCGCAGCCACCGGTGGAGCTCCCTGGGGCCAGCGTTCGGTGGAGCTCCCTATGGGGCCACGAAACGTGTGAGGGGTGTGCCAGAATGGGGGGTGGAACCGCATGCGGCGCAGCCACTGGGGCCTTCGGTGGAGCTCCCTATGGGGACCGTGTGAGGGGTGTGCTAGAATGACAATGGAACCGCATGCGGGCGCAGCCACTGGGGGGCCTTCGGTGGAGCTCCCTGTGGGCCACGAAACGTGTGAGGGGTGTGCCAGAATGGGGGGGTGGAACCGCATGCGGGCGCAGCCACTGGGGCCTTCGGTGGAGCTCCCTATGGGGCCACGAACGTGTGAGGGGTGTGCCAGAATGGGGGGTGGAACCGCATGCGGGCGCAGCCACTGGGGCCTTCGGTGGAGCTCCCTATGGGGCCACGAGCCGTGTGAGGGGTGTGCCAGAATGGGGGGTGGAACCGCATGCGGCGCAGCCACTGGGGCCTTCGGTGGAGCTCCCTATGGGGCCACGAACGTGAGGGGTGTGCCAGAATGGGGGGTGGAACCGCATGCGGGCGCAGCCACTGGGGCCTTCGGTGGAGCTCCCTATGGGGCCACGAAACGTGTGAGGGGTGTGCCAGAATGGAGGGTGGAACCGCATGCGGGCGCAGCCACTGGGGCCTTCGGTGGAGCTCCCTATGGGGCCACGAAACGTGTGAGGGGTGTGCCAGAATGGGGGTGGAACCGCATGCGGGCGCAGCCACTGGGGCCTTCGGTGGAGCTCCCTATGGGGCCACGAAACGTGTGAGGGGTGTGCCAGAATGGGGGGTGGAACCGCATGCGGGCGCAGCCACTGGGGCCTTCGGTGGAGCTCCCTATGGGGCCACGAAGCGTGTGAGGGGTGTGCCAGAATGGGGGGGTGGAACCGCATGCGGGCGCAGCCACTGG